GTGCTGACACACCTCCATGCCGTGCAACAAGACTGTCAAGAATCTTCTCTTGTTGTCTTCCTCTATCCCTTCATCCACAGATCCTTCCAGTGGTCACAACATGTTCCATTTTCCCTCTTCTCATAACATGGCCGAAAAATGATGAAAGTCTCCCGATGTCTGTGATAAGATGTCTTCGGGCTCCCGTCTCTTTCAAAACCTCTTGGCTGCCCCCCTTTTTTTTGGGCTGTCCAAGCTATTTTAAGCATTCTTCTATAAAACAGGAGGACAAGAAAAGGAAATTCAAATTTGTTAAACTGATATGGGATACCATGTGTAGAAAAGCATCAGTGGAGATCCCCTGTGAATGCTTTATCTATCAACGACGACATAAAGAGGATGCAGAAAAATGTGCGGGCTTGGGGCAAGATAACTCGTCTCTGTGCGAATCTTTTTGAATTCGATTGTAGGGACGGCTCCGATATAGCTCATCGATAAATGATTCTCTGCGCACTTTAAACCATTTGATATTTAAAAAAAAAGGCTCCGATTCCCTCGGTATTTAACCCAACGTGTGGCGACTGAGGCACCAATTTTGTTGTTGGGTAGCATCCCACTGAGCGCTCGCTCTTGTTCGGCTTCATCCCTATTGACCTATAATGATTGCGGTCTGGCCAAGTTGCCGATGCTCAGACATCACTTGACTCTGTTACCCATATGCATCTAACCAAATTAAAACATCGCCAGTTAGCACCCAACCGTTTACTTCTACTTGGACAGACGACACTCAATACACGACGGAAAGGCGAGACTCGCAAATAGACGGGCTGATTCTGCACCACTTGGCTGTGCATTGATGCATGACAAGCTAGATGTTGTAAGGGCCCTTTGTGAGCCAGTAGACAATGTGGAGGCACAAATACATCATAACGGTCTGAAGAGAAAGGTGCAGCAAGGAGTGACCATGGGATCTGACCGACGCTAAACACTCAGGGGAGGGGCAACACGCACATACAGACTGTTACTAGTGCCATCGGAAAAGGAACTCTGTGCTGGCTGCTAAAGATAGGGATGGAGCGTTTGTGGGAGTGATCTGATGAGTGCTTTGATGTCGATTCTCAACTCATGATTTCGGCTTCATCCATTTTGACTTGCAATGCTTGTAGTCTGGTTACGGTTGCTGATACACATTCATTCATTGAATTCGCTTTCAGCATACTGCTAAATAATTTAAAACATCGGCGGTCAGCTACTTGGAGAGACGGAGCACTTCTGCGCTTGTCGCGATCCCAGTGACGTCAACGCACGATCAGAAACGAGAGACAATAAAAACACGAATCGTGAGTTGAACAAACAAAACGCAGTCGCTGACTGAACAAGACGGTGAGTGGTCAACCCAAGACCGTACCAGCTGTCTCAAATCAATATTTTTTTCTCCATGGCGAACGAAACGACGCAGATTTGTCACAGACAACTAAAGGACGCGCTAAAGCCGGCTAGAACACATATTAAAACAACTGGCGTTGTCTACTCTACAACACTCACCCACATCGTCAGGTCGCAGGTATCAAATTGAGACATTTTTGTTTTAAATCAGTTATTAGTATTAATATTAATAATATCATCATCAATAATACATCATTACACTTTGTATCATCTGCCGCAGCATATTTGCCTAACGTTCAAAAATTAAACTCACTCTGTATTTCGCCAGCCACATTCAGGAAAATGGGAGACGGAATTTCAGTATTTTAATTATTTGAAAAGTTGTTCCACGGTTATCAGTTAAATCAGCCGTTATATAAGAAATTATCTACTCAGGTTTGTCATATCGGGAGTTCAGGGTTCGAATCCTCGGTAAGGTAACGGCGTTTTCTTTTATAAATAAAATGTAAAAAGGAAATTCTAACTAGCAACGGTTCCTAGCGACCACAATAGCCAAGCAGAGCCCTGAAGCTTTACATTCTCCGGCTTAATTGCTGAGATCTACATGCAGTAGAGGGCTTTCCTGTGGAGCCAACGATTATCATTATGGGTTCATCTCCCATTACATGGGTACCAGTTTAAGTCCTGGGAGGTAAAGGCGGCAGGCGTTTACATCAACAACCGAGGGTGGTCTATAAGATGTAGTTCTAGCCCTATATACCCAGTACGACTGAAAGCGTGGAAATTGGTCCTTCAAAATAGTAGAGAGATTCCAGGTTTGGCTGGTTGGCATTCCAAAGGAAACCAGGCTGTGTGGATTAGAGGAAGACATGCATCGCTCGCATCACAGACATCATAGCAGCCTGTCACCTTCTCAGATGAAAATCACTGGCAGGGAGAGAAAAAAAAGGCTAAATATGACCAACCTTTCTTACACCACCCAACCAAAAAAATCAAACATAAGACATTTGAGTCTGTGTGTCTCTGTGTGTCTTTTTTCTTTGCTTTTATTTTAATCTCATTTGTTCACAGAAGCGAGCATTAAATATTTATATACAAAGTCAAAACAAAAGTCTTAGTTTGAACAGCAGAAAAACAGGAGTAATGCTAATTACAAAGAAAACTGATGCACCAGAATGCAGCATCAAAGTAAATGTGGCAGTCCTCCAGCAAGTTGATATGCTTAAGTATTTGAATACCCTAATAACGGTAAATGGAAGATGTATTAAAGTAGCTTAATATATAATAGCTCCAGCAAAGGCAGCGTTTTACAAAATGAAGAGTATTCTGTGCAATCTTTCTTTGTCAGTTGAGATAAGAAAAGAATTCTTAAAAGCTACATAAATCTTGTCTTGATATACAGAAGTGATTGGCCAATCAGTGAACAATTATGTGGCAGCGGAGAAAATGTGGTGTTATCAATTAATGTTAGGAACAGCCTGGACAGATTTAAAAAAAAAAGTAACAAAGATGTCTTGATAGAGATTGACTCAAAGGAGAACTGATTGTCCACATCAGGAGAAGACAATATAAATTCTCATCATGTCATGAAAAGTGAAAAACGGAAGTACATTGTGATGGTGTGAGAGGTGGAGGGGAAAAGAGGCGGAAGGAGACCAACAAAAAAAGATGCTTTTTGACATCATGACATCGAAGAACTGATTGGAAGTACACGAGAAAAAAAAGTTATGGATAGACATGACCACCAATACCACATGGCATGGTCTATAAGAAGAAGATATTTAGAAGGTTGTGGATAGACACGACCACCAAAGCCACATGGCATCGTCTATTAGAAGAAGATATAGAAGGTTGTGGATAGACGTGACTACCAATACTGCAGGGCATAGACTATAAAAATATATATACAGTATTATTGAAAAGATATACAATAAAAAAAATGACAGGCACGCACGCACGAACTCATTCCACACTCGGAACTCAGCTGAAGGGTCCTTGGTGGCACGAGCATGTGTTGCTCGAATGGTTGCTTCCGCAACTGCGCTCTAGCAATAATATTTACAACTTTAGACCTTCCGCTCTCTATTTTCTCTAAATAATTAATATGTAATGTATATTCAAGGAAATTTATGTGATTGAAAGTGTATCTATCATTTTGAAAAGCCCTGTATATATACACACATACGGGCACACATACATATGTGTGTATATGTATGTGTGTGTGTGTATGTATGTGTGTGTATGTGTAATCTTTAAGTATTCACTTTTTAAGTATTGAGCAGTTTGTTAAACTAATAATTCAGACATGAAGGATTGATATAGCTGCTGTCTGTCTGTGATAGATAACAGAAAAAACCCAATAAAACATTCTATTATCTTTGAAAACACCAAAAAAGCAAGTGTGTTGTTTAGTACTTAAAGGTTTATTGTTACACCACAGTGCGCATACACACACATGTAGACACGTTTTCTACAATTAGAGCATGGTATTTCAAGTCCACTATTGTCATCATATGTATTTAATGTACATCTCTCAGACTCTCAGCTTTTAATCTATCTGCAGTCATTTTCTTCTTTATTCCTGTACCCTTCCTGATTTGCCCCTTCCATGCAACGTGTCTCATGGCATCTATTCTCCATGCATTCCCTCCACTACCTATATCTTCATGTCTCACCGGCCCACATCTTTATATTCTAACAGAGGCCGACCTCAGCATCTTCTACCCATGTGTAATTTACTATAGAGGATGTCCTTAGTCACTACCATTCTACTAGTCATCTAACCCTTTGAAATTGAGCATTGAGAAAACTGTTGTATTACCAGCTGTTTCCAGTAACTCGGTGTTGGTGATCTTGTCTTGCCGTTAATACCAAATATTTTTCATTGGCATCTCACATATAAAAGCTATTTAGCAGTTTCAACTGGTACAAATATTTAAACCAAGTCTAACTACTAAAAAGACAAGTGTTGAAAACACAAGCTTGAAAGACAATGATTCATATTTTAAATGTCAGCTAAATGTCCTAGCAAACTTTTTTTTGGCATTCTGCCTATTGTTGGTGCTTCCTTGTCTGTCCTGATGTTGATTACTTTGTCAAATGATAATGTATTGTTGACCGAGGATCCCAGAATGGTCGATTGTCTCCAGTTCTTCGCTATCAGTGAAGCCTGCAGGTTTATCATTAGTACCCTGCACCGTAATCTTTGTCTTCGTTTTTGCTGATTGTGAGTCCAAATTCACAAAAGACATAAGTGAAAACAGATAGTAAATTTTGCAGTTCCTCCTATAAGTGGGTGCATTTACTGCAAAGAGCAGCTTCCTAGTCAGTAGTTATATTGAAAGTAAAGGACCATTTTTATGCCCTCAGTGCTAGACCAATATTTTACAGACCAATCGCCTTTCTCCCTTACTTCCCAGGACTTTACCTGATATCCTTTTAAGGCTGGGTCAACCTGGGAGCCAGGGTCATTTTTGAAAAAAAATCTGGCTCCATTTGGATTTAAATTCACGATTTATGGATCTGCAGGCACATGCCTAGCTGCTGCTGTAGTTTTATTATTATTACTAATATCATTACTATTAACCAGTTTTCTCCATGTATGTTCTCTCCAGCACCGTTTCATTGTTTTGCTGATGGAGGCCAGGAATTCTAGCAACTTCCACCAACAGAGTCAAGATGTCTCCAGCAACGAGAATGTTCAGACTAGAATAAAGCCAAAGTTGTCAGACTTAGTGACAGCGACAAGGCCTTGGTCCTTCACTGCCTCCCTCATCCCAGTAGCCCTGGGAGTTGCCTTAGCATACAAACTGGAACATGTCTTCAGTCTCAGCATTTTCCTAGCCACCGTGGTAATAGTTGTGTCTGTGCATGCTGCCGGCAACCTCATTAACACATATGTTGATTTCAACAACAGCGTTGATAACAAAGACAGCGATGACCTTACCCTTGTAAACAGGATTCTCCTGCCAGAAAATGTGATGGATTTGGCCCTTGTATTTTATGTAACTGCCACTGTTGGGTTTATTGTGTTGCTCTTTCTTAGCTCAGCCGAAATAGAGCATTTAGTGTGTCTGTTTTTGTGTGGGATTGTCAGTAGCTATGTTTATACTGGGGGGCTAGGAATTAAATACATGGCTTTGGGAGATATTCTTATTTTTCTCACTTTTGGTCCACTAACTGTTTTGTTTGCTTACCTGAGCCAGACAGGGCACCTGTCCTTTGTTCCTTTGATCTGTGCCATCCCTCAGGCTCTGAATATTGAGGCTATACTTCATAGTAACAATGCTAGAGATGTAGACTCTGATCAGCAAGCCAGAATTATAACCCTGGCTATTCTTCTTGGCCCCTCTCTCTCATACTGGCTGTTCTTCTTTCTCTTGTTTAGCCCTTACTTCATTTACATCACTGTTGGTGTCTTTTACTCTAAATGGTTGTTACTCCCACTCTTTTCAGCCATGATTGTGTTTTCATTAGAGAAGGATTTTCGACATGGAAATTTAAAGCTAATGCCACAGAAAGTGGCTCAGTTGAACTTAATTATGGGAATATTGTATGTGGCTGCTGTTTTGATTGCATAGAAAAAGTAACTAGAATGTTTATTGAATGACTGAGTTTAAATGAGAAAGAGAAAACAGGAGGGCATCATTAAGGTGGGACTCTTTGAAGGGAAATGAGGCTGAGAGAGATTGAAAGAGATGCTGGACAGTTCGAAATCATGGCATGGAAGATCACCTTGTGTCATAATTGATTCAGAGTACACGAGACAGAAGGTTGTGGATAGATATGACCACCACATTTTTTCCGTTTAAAACAGATTTGTGACCTGACAAGATCGCAAAGGCAGAAGTGGCTTGGACATGCTTGTGAATTCTGCGTGACACTTCGGTAAGGATAGCTTTCTGCTGGATGGCAGATGGAAAAGGAAATGGAGATCACCTATGTAAACCTGGAGAAGAACTGTAGAAAGGAAAGCAAAGAAATAAAAAATGACATGGGATGCTATAGGCAGAAAAGAAGCAGACCAGCAGCAGCAGAGATCACTTGTGAATACCTTATGTGTCAACAGCAACGTGAAGAGGATATAGATTGATAGATGATTAATAAGATGTTTTAAGATAAGAGAATCAATGTTTAACTCCTTAACCATACAGAACTACTCGTTACACTAGGCTGGTATGGCTGATATTGGTATCATGATTATAACTTCTCTGGTGGTTGAACAGGGTATCTGGTATTTGCCCCACTGGCTTGTCATCTAGACTAAGATTTGTTATCAGGTAGCATGGGAACTGAAGGAGGGGGAGGATCAACTTCATTGTGCTGGGTTTTATCCCATCTAGCTTGATCTCTCTTCACAGAACAGCTGGATGCCAGGAGAACATTGTACAAAGCATGAGCTCCAGGAACAACCCCTTAGGGACAGATATCAATGCTGTAGGTTTAGGCTAGTGGATAATGACGAATCTCTGACACTAACATGATTGCTTGACCTTGAAGTAAAGCTTGGTGAAGTATTACTGTGCTGCCTTCGAGGCCGAGATAGACATTTTAACCAACTTCTAATGGGAACAATCAGTAGAAGTACCTTGGAGTGGCTGCTACATAGAGAGACTGAGCAGGTGTGGGAATGTGCAGTGACACCAGTTACAATAACAGGATAACATAACCACTAAGCAATCTGCGAGTAAACTCCACTCATGAACCAAAAGACAGTCTAACATCGAGCCCAGAGCATGAGGCAAACAGCTCACCCTCTCTCTAAAGGTGGACAGTCATAGAGGTAATATTCAGTCACTTCCCCTGGTTGTACTCTTGTTTTTTTCCTCTTCTTCTTCTTCTTCTTCTTTTTCTTTAGTCCTGTACTATCTTTCAGCATCAGATTTCAAAGAGACATCAGGTGTGATCCATGGAATGTGCTACGTAGATAATGGTATCTGTGGTCTGGGATATTCCATCTATCCATTACTTACTTGGTTGACCTCTAGCTCTGCTTCCGTTTATCTAAGTGACAGAGCTATCTGGTGGTAAACTTGACACATTTCGGAACCATTTGATCTCTTGTACTGTATTCCAACAGTGACATTTTTTAATGCATATTCCACACCCTACAATCAGATCTCTACCTGGCCTCTGTCTTTTCAAACTTTCACCTCAAAATTACCACAGTTAGTATTCTAAATCTCACATCTTAATTTATTGATTTAAAAATGAGAATGTTTTATTTTGTGTGTGCTGGAAAAATATTTCCTGTTAAAGATCTCATTGTTGTGACATTGTTTTATTGTAAATCAGTATTTTTATTACTGACAACCAGTTACTTATTTGTTATTGTGATATTATTATCTGTGCATATAATGCAGTATCTTTGTATTTTTAAAATATAGCTGTTAGGGAAGATATAATGCAGTAGAACAGATAGACATTGGGGGATGAATAATTCTTGGGATATAAAAACATGAGTTGTAACTCTTCAACTCCCGGGCATTGGAGCTTAGGTCATCTTGGCCCTTAAACAGGCTGGTGTCCAGTTGTATAGTAGTGAAATACCAGATACCAGTTGGTACCTTTCAGTCTTTCCAGATGATAGTGCTGTATTGTGCTAATGAGAGACGTGAGAATCACAGCACATGGCGATGGTGATTGTGACTAGGCCAGATCTCTCCATAGCACAACACCTGGGCAAAATTGTAGAGACCATATGTTGCCCAATCTTGATATGAGGGGATGTGTGTACACGTTAAATCCCCAATCTCAAGATGTTGATCCGGCAGCATCTGCAGTGTGCTTTGTTACAAACATATTGGTACGTTACTGTTCCTTTGGAGTAAACAAAGCGGTTCTTTAAATTTAGGCTACTGGCTGTGTCTCCAGTGTCTCCTCAAAGCACAATACTATCATCTAAGAAGATGGATAGATGCCAATCATGTATTGCCCACGCATCATGATACCTTTGTGGCCTGCCTTGTTTACACCAATGGAAAGGTAACACCAATACATTTGTAACAAAGTGTGCTGCAGAAGCTACAGGATCAGCAGAGAAATGTTATTTCAGTCGAAGTTTCACTCCTAGACCAGCTGCCAGCCTTATTGTATAGTAGGGATAATTGATCACTGTAGGTTTGATGGGGCATGGCATCTTGGAGTTAGTTGACTCAGAGATGGGGCTTACCAAACTGAATCACAGTAATATACATTACAATAGTATAAATCACAATAAAATACATTACAGTAATATAAATCACAGTAATGTACATCACAGTAATATACATTACAATAGTATAAATCACAATAATATACATTACAGTAATATAAATCACAGTAATGTACATCACAGTAATATAAGTTATAATAATGTTAATCATGATAATATAAATTGCAAAAATATAAATAACAATCATAAAAATTAGAAATAAAAATGTTAAGCAAGGAACAGCTGGCTGAGCAGTTAGAGTGTTGGACTGTCATTTGGGAGACCTGGACTGAAATCATTGGTTTGAACCCACTTTTACATATCACTCTTACATTCACACTTAATGGTCTATTTAGTTAATAAAGGCAGCAACATAAAATGTATAACTGATGTTTACATATGAAAGTTCAGTTGTTTTTTTAATGGTTCACTTTTTGATTCATATTATTTATTTGTTGTTAAAGGCAAAAAAACTTATTTTGGTGTTTGCTGTGATTTAATTTTGAAAAGAATTAAAAAATCAGTCAAAAAAGTAATCATGGTTTTTGTTGTTTTCATTCTGTTATTGTTTTGAATCTTATTTCAGATGGTTTCTGCGAAACTTCAAGGACAGTGAAAAATATAATAATTTTACTGAATAAACATATAAAGCTTCTGTAGCACATATGTTGTCACGTTCTTTACTTTTGCTCAAGCTAAACATATAAAGCACCCACTTGTTAAATCTTATAATAAAAGAAGTAAGAGGAACAAAACTGGCCATCTCAGTGATAATGACGTTAACAAACGATTTTGCTGAGGTTTATTTTTCTTCGGCAATAGAAGTCTATTTCACCATTTATCCTCAATGCACTTTTGTGTTTGTACCTTCTCCTCTCCTTCTTTGCTATGTGCCTATCCATATTGCTGTCTCCCTATAGGGAGTTATCCCTCATCTACACTTCTGTCACCTTCTTTTATCTCTTTGAGTCTCTTACAGTCAGATGACCGATGGATCTCATGACACATGGTTTGATTTTTTGAGCTAAAGATTTAAATCTCTTGAGGACCCATGCTAACTGCCTACTTATTTATCATTTTTAATTAAATTTTTATCACTTGTGATTGTATTATTGTTGCTTATGATTGTATATTATCTTGTAGTTGTATTATTTTCACTTGTAATTGTATCATTGCCTTTTGTGATTGTATAGTCACTTGTGATGGTATTATTGTCACTTGCGATTGTATTATTGTTGCTTGTGATTGTACTATTGTCACTATGGTTGTATTATTATCATATTGTCACTTTTGATTGTATTATTCTCACTTGTTATTATTGTCACTTGTGATTGTATTTATGTCACTTTGTTCTGTTATTGTCACTAGTGATTGTATTTTTTTTGTAAAGATATTGTGAAAACATTTTGAGATTGTATTATTATTATTTGTGAAAAGATGGATTGTTATAAAGCTTGCCAGTTCCATTTTTCAGTTTGAAATATTTAGTCATTTTACCAATGGTTGTCGCGGCGTCCGTGGCTTAGGCGTTGCGAGTCTGACGCGTAATTCCAACGTACCGTGATCGAAACCCACTGCTGGCTGCGTGGGTTGTTATCATGGTATGGGGCGTCGCAGGTCGACACAGCCTAAAATAGGTACCAGGATGGCTAACCACATTACCCATCTAGTGTCGATTGGTCTGTAAATATATGGGGTGCTCTTCCCATATACCCGATGCGTCTAAAGCGTAAAAAGAGAATCTTTACTTTTTTTTTTTTTTAACTTAGCAATGGTTGCATATAAGAAATATGTTTGTCAGTACTCATGAATCAGTCAATTTACTTTCTGATGTGTCTTGTCTGTAGATCAGTCAGTTACCTAACTACTCATTTGTCTGTCCCTCTTTGGTGTAAAAACATAATCTAAGCTTTAAAGACAAAATTGTTGTGTGAAAGGTGAACATTCAGAAGAACCAAATATAAGACAGTCCTCTATGTCCATCCATTTTGTGACTTGAAAAAAAAAACAGTCAACCTATATTATTTTAGACTATCACTTAACTCATCTACGTGTCCACCTTTCTTCAGCCTGTCTGCCTCCCCTCCTTGCTTGTATATTTACTTATCAATAAGTTTGTCTTACAGTATATTTGGATAAAGGAATCTGAACACATAAATACATAAAAACTTCTTCTTTTTCTTTTGAGATCTCACTGATACCAGGTTGTAGCTCAGTGTCATGGTTTTCTTTATTAGTCTTGTGCTTATCTGGTGGCTTGGGTGATGGATTTATTCATCTTTTTGCATGTTTCAGCTACATCATTTATCCATCTTTTTCTTGGTCTTCGTCTCACCTTCTTCCCGGATGTTCTGCTGTAAAAAGTCTCATGCGCAGTTTGGTCTGGCT